TCAACGCGCGCGCGCGGTCAACTCGGCCGATCAATTTGGCCGATCAGCTGGGCCGATCATCTCGGCCGATGAACTCGGCCCACCAACTCGGCCGATCAACTCGGCCCATCAACTCGGCCCATCAACTCGGCCGACCAATTTGGCCGATCAACTCGGCCGATCAACTTGGCCGTTCGACTCGGCCGATCACTTCGGCCGGTCAACTCGCCTGGCCCTTTGGTCGGTACTTTCGGGCGGCCAGCTCGGGGGGGTCAACTCGGGCCGTCAATTCGGGCGCGGGTGCCTGCGCGCGCCGCGGGTGCCTGGGCGCCTCCGCCCACGCGCGCCGCCAGCGCTTGGGCGCGCTCACCCGCGCTCGCGGTGGGCGCCCGAACGGTTTCATTCAGAGCTTCCCAGGCCAATGAGTTTCGCGTGGCCCGGAGTTTTTTGGGCCCGTTTGGTTTCGGGCGATCCAGTATCGCCCAAGCTATCGAAGCCTCGGTCGACCCAGAGCCTCCCAGACCCTTGCGCTTCGAGCGATCCAGGGCCTACTAGACCCTTGCGCTGGGACCCTCTGGTGGTTGGATTTCATTCAAATCGCTCGGCTGGCGCCGAAACACAAGGCGCCCTTCGATAATCCTTCGCAAAAAACCGCTCGCGCACTGCGCGAGATAGGAGTGCAGCGCAGCGCGCGTCGCCCAAATCGCATGGCTGACGCCAAGACAGGGGAAGCCCTGGCAATCGAAGTTCGCAACAACCGTTCGGCTGACGCCGAGGCAACCGCTCGGCCAACGCCTCCACGCCGCCGCGCGCGCGGCAGCGCTGAGCCGACGTGCGTGGAGGCATGCAACGGGAGCGGCCTCTGCGCCGGCGGTTTCTGCGACGCCGCGCGGTTTCTGCGACGCCGCGCGAGGGGGCGCCGTGCCGTCGTGCGCAGAGGAACGCAACGGAGGCGGCCCTTGCGCCGCCGCGCGCGCGGCGGCGCTGGGCCGTCGCGCGTGGGCAAATTGTGACGAGGCCAGCTTCTGCGCCGTCGCTCGCGCGGCGTCGCTGGGCCGTCGAAGTGTGACATGCGGCGGGGGGGGGGGTCTCTGCGCGCCGCGCACGCGCGGCGGCGCTGGGCCGTCGCGCGCGGAAGACGCGCCGCCGGCGGCCCCTGCGCCGCCGCGCGCGCGGCGACGCTGGGCCGTCGTGCGCGGAGAAGCGCATCGCGAGCGGCCATTGCGCCGCCGCGCGCGCGGCGGCCGCCTGCGTGCGCGAGGTGACGCAATGGAGGCGGCCCCTGCTCCGCCGCGCGCGCGGCGGCGCTGGGCCGCCGCGCTCAGAAAAAATGCGACGAGACCAGCTCCGGCGCTTCCGTGCGCGCGGCGGCGCTGGGCCGTCGCGCATGGAGAGGCGAAATGGAGGCGGCTTCTGCGCCGCCGCGAGCGCGGCGGGCTGGGGCCATCGCGATCAGAAAACGCAGCGCGAGCCGTTCCCGCGCCGCCGTGCGTGCGGCGGCGCTTGGCCGTCGTGCGCGGAGAATTTTGATGGTGGCGACCTTTGCGCCGCCGCGCGCGCGGCGGCGCTGAGCTGCTTGCGTAAGAATGCGATGGAGGCGGCCCCTGCGCCGCCGCGCGCGCGGAGGCGCCGGGTCGCCCCCCGCGGGAAACGCAGGCGTTGGGCCGTTGCGCGTGGAAAAATGCAACGGGGGCAGCCTCTGCGCCGCCGCGCGCGCGGCAGGATTCGGCCGCTTTGCGCAGAGACGTCGACGTCAGGTTGTCTTCTCAGTTAGCGCGCTACGGCCGCGGGGTTTGCACCGCTGGCGCCCGACAACGTTTCGCGGAAACGCGGGCCTGTTGTAGGCTGCCTTGTCCGGTCGTAAACGCGGCTGTGCTCGACGGGCGCTGGTTTGCCCAATGGCCAGTGTGTTGGCGCAGGTCCGTTCGAGTGCGCCATATCATTAGATGCGGCGTTTTTGGTTATTCGCGTGTCCTCTAAGCTAGTTTACACATCGATTTCGGCCTTTTGCCCAGACGTGTTAGGCTGCCGTTTGCAATGAAACCCTGGGAGACGACCCCAGAATTTGAAGTTCTAGATGGAAGCCATGCTGGGCCCTCGGTGCAACGGAAATCTGGACCAGACATTTCGCGCACCAAGAGCACGTTGACGCGAAAATGTGCGAACCAAGAGCCACGGCAACGAGCGACTAAGACGGCCCTGCCGACGCCCTTGCGGGCCCTCCTACAGACCTGACCCCCCAGACATTCCCAAACCATCGAGGCTCGATCGAGGAGCATTTTTGGGTCAGGTTACGAAAAAAATACGCGTGCGAAGCCGATCAGGGCGCGGGGAATGGACGCCCGAGCGATGGCGAGCCTGGCGCGGGCGTTCTTTCAGGGCTGGCTGGGTGGTGCCGCCGAGCGCCCGGGGCTTCAGCAGGCCACGATCGGCTGCGTCGGGAAGCCGCGGCCGTTCGGTGTTGAGCGGTCCCCTGAGATCCTGTCGTCTCCAGTTTCCCGAGCCGGGCGTTTTTTTCGTCAGGCGTCGGGCCGCCGGACCCTCACATATCGATCTGGCTCGAGGAAGGACGCAGAAAGGTGGGGTCCAGGGGTCCGGTCGTGCAAACAAAAAAATCGGTCCCAATTTTTTCGAACGTCGGATCTCAGGAGCTGAGCGATGAGGGCAGCCCCCCCGGGCCTCTCGCCGTCGCCTCGCGGAACCCCAGCAGCCCCGCGCGCCCGCTCGGGGCTGCCGCTCCCCCCCGCAGAGGCCATCCCAAGCAGAAGTGCCACCGAGCCCCCACCGCCTCTCGGAGACCCATGCGATGCACCAGGGTGCTGCGCGGATGAATCTGGCCCGAGGCAAGTGGGCATGATGGGCGCATCGATGCAACATCGGCCGCGTGATATTCGTTTCATCGCGCACCCCATGATTAGCTCCACGGGGGGAGGCGTTGGCGAGACCATGGCTAAAACTTTTTGTGCCCTGGCATTGCGCACGGGCCCCGTCCGTGGCAACTGGCCCCGCTTTCGGGCGCGCGACAGCAGCACAAAACACTGATGGGGTGTGTCGGAGGAGGCGGAGAAGGGTAACGAGGGGATGGAGAGGTAAGTTGATGAGGTCGGAAGGGGGACGATGGGGGGAGGAGGAGGAGGACGGCGGCGAGAACCATGAGAGAGCGGGGCCGAACTGCGGTTCGGACGCCGTTTACGGCGGACGACTCCTTTTGACATTGCCCGCAAGATCTCGGGTTCCAGGGCCTGGCGTTCGGCTCTAGCTCTCCGCGAGACCCCGCAGTGACGGGGGATGTATCCCCGACTCCTGCTCCCCACCCTCCACCTCCGTTTTTCGTTTTTCCTGTCGTTTCTTGTGTTCCCCAATCGGTGCTTGCAGACCCGGGAGCCATCCAAGCCGAGCTTGCACTAGCCGCTATGTCAGACGAACCTTGGTGTATACGGTGAGACCAAGGGGTCTTGGTGTATACGAGACACGCGCGCTCAGAGTTTTCACGCGGGTTTCCCTTATCGTCCCCTCTCCAAAGAGGGTTTGGTGTATACGGGGGGTCGAAGTTGGGGCCGAAACGAGCACTCCATATACACCAAGGGACAAGGACGCTGAGTCTGTGTGATCCCGCCGATGACAGCAGAGGAGGCGGGGGGGGGGCCAGTCAGGTCGCATCTGTCGCCTCCCCCCGGCCTGGCGCGTCCGCCAAGCACGTGGAAGGGAAGACGATGGATCATTATATGAGGCATGGAAGCGCCTCGCGGATCCAAACGATAAATCCGCTCGTCCTGAGAAGCGCCGACGCGTGTCCACAGTGAGAGCCTTGGAGCTGAAAGATAACGTTCGTCAGCCAGGGGGGAAATCTCACAAAGGCACCCACCCACGACCCGCGTTAAGCACGAACATACGACAACGCACGGTTCGGTACTGGCACTGCACGTGCCATGGTGGATTATGAAGGATTTTGCGGGTGTGCCAGACATATGGGTTCCCAGGGGGAGATGCCATGTCAATCGTCAATCGCCATGTGGCAATGTTGTGAATGGTTTTTGAAGTTGTTCAGGCATTTGGATCAATGAGGCATTGCACATATAGCTTGTCTCGTGCGGGGTGTCTCGTGTGCATGTGGCACACGTGGTTCAAACATTGCGCTGACGTCGCGGACAACGGTGGCATTGTACCCCCGCGATTTTCCCACCAAGGTGTCCCGCAGAGCCCTGGTGTATATGAAAGGCGTCACCCAGCCTCGTCGTCTTGGACCATGCGTAAGGTCGGGCGTGGGTCTCGAACCAAAAATATATTAACAAATACTGCAAGATGTTCAAAAATACTCCAACAATCGTCCCCGGATTATTTTTTGTACTATTTGTAGATATTCTTCCTGTCGAGGGACAGGCCCGACCTAAACCGAGCATCGTCGGCGGGCGATGCTCGACCGTTCTCGGCGTTATCGGGGGCCATCGCCGGGCGCCCGGCGGCCGGCAGGAGAACGGCTCTGGACATCGGGCACCGGTTTCTGGGGGCAGGGGCCCAGGCCTCGGGGGGCCCACGGCGTGAGCAGAAGAGCGGCGTCGGAGATTTCCGGGAGGGCCGGCGAGGTCGATCGCCGAGGGCCCGTGCATGGGAGGCCGCCGGAGGCTTGCCTCCCCGAGAGCCCATAGCCGGGCCGAACGAAAGGGGGGGGGGTACACCTTAGGCGATGCTTAAGAAAACTTGAGTTTTCGGCCAGAGTCTCGATTATTCTTAATATTTCAATGTAAATCCTAAGATTTTGATGGAAATTTTGGGTTTTTATTCGAGTTCTGAGACCATGAATTTCTTAACCCAACCATTTCGCGTGGTGTAGGGAAGGGAGGGGTTCAGAAATCTGCTGCATGCAGCTGGTTTCGGCCCCGCCGCCGGGCCCATTTCTCGATACATGGCCGCCGCCTCGAGCGTGTGTTCCGGAAGGCGCCGGGAAAATCAGCGACGTGGGCTGACTCTCAAACCCCCCCCCTTTGTTTGCTATCCCCCCCTTTTCGCCCGGCCCGACACAGGCCACCCCAAGCAGAAGTCCAGGCGGATGCCCCACGTGGACAACGTGCAGCGCGAGCTCCAGGAGGCGCCTCCGGCGGGGCGGGGGGGGGGGCGGCCCTAGGCCTGCCAGATAGGGTCCGAGCACATGTCGAGTAGGGGATCGATTGCAGAATTGATGTACCCCGAAATTTATGTGTCGGTCGACTCTACGAAGGAATACGTAGAATGTTTCGGAGATTTAGGGAGCATTTTACGTATTTCCCAGGCTCAACGAACAAACGAATCTAGGGTAAATGAATTCTGCAGTCGATCCCCGACTCGAACATGGAGTCGGAGGATCGCGCCGCGTCGCCGACACATCGTCGATGCGGCTCTGTGTGGAGCCCGATGTTCTCCGCGTAGGCGTCGCCGATGCATCGCCGATAAATCGGCGATGCGGCGCGATCTTGTGACCCCATCTGAGCGACGCAAAAAAAAAACGGGGACGTCTTCGCCGACATTGGCGCGCAAGCTGCCCGCGTAAGGGCCCTCGTCTCCAATTTGGCGTGCCGCGCCGGCGGCCCGCGTAAGCCGCCGCGTAAAGTCGCTGCGTCATCTCGCGTAACGCCCATTTTCCCTCACATCCGACGTTGCAAAAACAATGCAAGATCACGCAAATCATGGCCCGAGCCCGAGACCACATCTCTCTGCCTCGTTTCTGTTCGAGCCGGATCGATCCGTGCGGGTCCTGGGGCCCGACGCGGGGCGAGAGCGCCCGTTGTCAAAAAGATACAGCGCCAAGATCTGAGGGCTTGGTCTTCAGGCCTCCCAGATGGGATCCGATCGGGGCCCTGACACGTCGATTAAGGAATTGGCCGTTTTCGGTTCGCGAGAGGGCGTCGCGGCCGTCATTTTTGCGGGTCCAGGTCCGTCGGTTTCGGTCCCAGGCCGCTTTCACTAAGGGGAGGTTTACTAAAGGGAGGCTTCTCCACCGCCGATCCGAGCAGATGGGGTCGGAGGACCGCGCCGCATCGCCGATGCATGGACGATGCGGCTCGAGTCGCAGAGCCTCTGTTCACCCACGCCGCGGTCGCCGCTGCATGGGCGATGCGGCGCGATCCCTCGACGCCCGACGTCATGATTTTTTCATGACGCCCCCCCCAGAGGTCCAGACCCATTCCCCGGGACCGGTTTTTCATCCCGAGTCGTTTTTTGGCGCTCCCGAGGCCCGGTGAGGGCCCCCGGAGGCCGAAGATAGCGAAAAGCCTCCCGTCGTGATTTTGTCATGACTCGAGGAGGTCTGGGTCCTTCGACGCCATCTCTTCCGACCCCGTCGACGGGAGGCCTCTGCGGTCGTCGCTCCGGGTGGGAGGCCCCCGGCGCCTCGGGGCCCCCCCGCTCGGCGTGCCGCGGCGTGCCGCGGCCGGGGGGCCGCGCGGGCGGTGTGCACCGCGGCGGGCGGGCGCCCCGCGCTCGCGCCGAGGCGCGCCGAGCTGCAGCGGCGCCGCAGCCTGCTGGGCCATCGCTCGCGATTTCTCTCCCCCAATCCCCGACTTCCGCCAGAAAAGTTTGGTCGCTCAGAAAAGGGGAGGAATCTTGGGATACATCCCGAGGGGGCTATTCGGACGCACCCCTGTCGAGGATGGACGCCCCCCCCTCGTATATCCCAGGGTTGGGCCCCAAATTGTTGATCCTCTCGAAAACCTCACGGAGCCTGGGATAGGGGTCGACGCATCCCCTGTTAGCTCGGACGCGTGCCTCTCTTCGCGGCGAGGGCCCTCCCCGGGCACGATCGCGCCGTAGAAGAGAGTCAGGACCGGGAGGCTTTGTTGTGGGGCAGTGTTCGGCCTCGAGGGGGGCCCCTCGCCGGGCCTCGCGAGGCCGTCCACAAAGCGACTCGCGTTGAGAAAAGCCGGTCCCGGGGAGAGGGTCGGGACTTCCACGGACCCCGTATGAGCCTGTTTTTTGTTGGATTCAGGCAAGTTTACTTGCATGGCGTTCGCCCCCCCCCCCCCCCCTCGCCCCTCTTCAAGCGAACACTAGCGTGCAAGTGCCTTTCGACTTGCGTGGTTTCCGCGCCCCCCCGAACGTGCAAGTCGTTTGCGGCTTGCTTCAGGCTCAGCCCCCCCCCCCGTCCATGCAAGTAAACTTGCCAGAGACTTAAAAAAACAGGCTCTATTGAAAGAATCAGGACGTCGCATGTCTGGGTCGAGGAGCATCTGAGGTCACCTTGCGACAAAATACGCGTGCGAGGCCGAAGAAGGCGCGGGGCATGGACGCCCGAGCGATGGCGAGTCTGGCGTCGGCGCCGCGCCCGTTCCGTGCTGAGCGGTCCCCTGAGATCTTGGCGTCTCCATGTTCTCGAGCCGGGCGTTTTTTTCGTCAGGCTTCGTGTCTGGACGCCCGAAATGGGCACGGAAAGAATGGGTACAATGCCCAACAGCAGTTCCTGTTCATTTTGAACAGGGCTCGCTGTCCACGCTGCCGTGGCCTGTGTCCATTCGAGACAGGAGGCCGCCTGTCCAACAGCGGCCGCTGTTGATTTGGGACAACCTTTGTTGTTGGGCACTGTACCCATTCTTTCGGTACCCATTTCGGGTGTCCAAAGTGGCACGGGCCCCTCACAGATCGATCCGGCTCGAAGAATGACGCAGAACGGTGTGGCCTTGGGCTCCGGTCGTGAGGTTTAACGAGGTCGCAGCTGTTTCACAACGTCGAATCTCAGGGTCGAGCGGTGCGTCCCGCGTCCACTGCCAGGCCGCGTCAGCGCAGGCTGGCCGCCCGCCAGTCGAGGTGCTTCGTGTGGTGAGTGCCCTCCCTCCTCCGCCCTCCGCGACCGCGCTCCGCCTCGGTTTCGCCGGACAGGTAGTGTTTGCCGTAGTCTGGCTTACGAGAGCGCACGTGCGGATTGCCTCGGCCGCGCCGCGGCGCACAAAGTGTTGAGCGGTCCGCGCGGTGTCAGAAGCCGGGCCTGAGCTGCTGGCGTCGCAACTTTGGCGCCGCGGGCGTTCTCGCTGGGTGTCGGGCCCCGGGGCCATCACAGGTGGATCCGGCTCGAGACGTGCCACGGAGAGATGGTGGTCTGGGGCTCCAGCCGTGGTGTGCCGCGAGTCTCGCAATGGTTCGGCAACGGCGGATCTCAGGGAGCGCCGTCGCCGTCGTTCGACGTGAGCTCACCTCCCGGGCGCCTTCCAGGCCGTGGGGCCGTCAGCAAGCTGGCCCGGGACCGGGGCCCAGGGGCAAGGCTGAGGAGGGAGCAGGGAGCAGAGGAGGAGGGGGATGATGCTGCTGCTGCTGCTGCTGCTGCTGATGAGGAGGAGGAGGAGGAGGAGGAGGAGGAGGAGGAGGAGGAAGAGGAGGAAGGAGGAGGAGGAGGAGGAGGAGGAGGAGGAGGAGGAGGAGGAGGAGGAGGAGGAGGAGGAGGGGGGGGGAGGAGGAGGAGGAGGAGGAGGAGGAGGAGGAGGAGGAGGAGGAGGAGGAGGAGGGAGAGGAGGAGGAGGAGGAGGAGAGGAGGAGGAGGAGGAGGAGGAGGAGGAGGAGGAGGAGGAGCAGGTGGAGAGGGGGACGCATCGCCCCCCAGTCGCCCGCTGCATCGCCGGCAGGGGCCCGACAGCTCCCCCCGGGCCAGGAACGTGCGGGTTCGCCGTCGCGGGTTTGCCGCCCATCCCTCGGCGACGTGTCCTCGACTTCGGGTCAGGGATAACTCGGGTTCGTTTTTCGGGAATCCGAACCCGAGTTACCCCGGACCCGAGTTACCCCGGATAACTCGGGCGTCCAGAGCCCCGAATCATCAGGGGTAACTCGGGTCAGGGATAACTCGGGTTCGTTTTTCGGGAATCCGAACCCGAGTTACCCCGGACCCGAGTTACCCCGGATAATTCGGGCGTCCAACCGCTGAGCCGACCCCCCCACGATCGCTCCCCTCTCAAGGAGCCAGGGCCCGCTTCCTTCCTTGACTCCTCTTCCTCACGCCGAGCTTTCGGCGGCGAGCGAGGGGGGGAAGTGAGAGGGGGCGGGCCTTCTCAGAAGTCTCGGAAGTCCCCCGGCCTTCTGAGAAGTTTCTTAGGCCTTCCCAGAAGACACACAAAAAGACCTCTCGGAAGGCGCGAGGGCTTCTGAGAAGTCCTGCCGCCATTCTGAGAAGGCCTTCTCTTTCTCACTTCCCCCCCTCGCTCGCCGCCAAATCTTGCCCTTGCTATTGCTGATGTTCCCGGCCAGTGCTCCTGCTCCCGCCCGAGACAGGACACACTACTTCCTGTGGCGCGGCTCGCTGAAATGTCCCCGCGGCTGTGACCGGCGGCTTTTCTGCGGGTCGTGAGAGCACTTGGTCCCTGAACCACACGACGTGTTGCCCAGAGCAAGCGGTCTCGCCCCCATACTGATCCAGCGTCATCCTGTAGACCGAAGCCCACCCGAGCTCGACATCCAGAGAATGGTTCCCGGATGATCCTGTCATTTTGTCCGCTTCTTGTCACTCGCATGAGTATTTGTCTGTTGTGGTTTGTGGCCAGAGTATCTCTTGATCCTGAGGGTCCCAAGCAGCCCTGCTGGGATCCGGGGCAGCTTCGGAGATACCCGAGAGGGAAATGATGCGAGACGCGCGCTCCAGAGTACTCCAGATTTCGTGATAAAAGGGAGGGGGTCTCATTTCGGGGGGGGTCTCTTCCAGGCTATCTTGGAGGGCCTGGGGGGGTCTGGGGACGATGTTTTGGAGGGTTCTCCCACGGGGGAGGTCTGAAATGGCTTGTCTTGGAGGGTCCAGACCCCCTCCCTTTTATTACGAAATCTGGAGTAGCTTTGGGTGCCATCCTCAAGCCCCACATCCAGCATCAAAGGTTGATTATATGCTATACTATATGCTGCCTGGTGGGGGGACAGTTCCAACAACAGCAAAGCAGCGACGTATAAGCTATTCCAGTGTTGGGCGAGAAGCACGGTTTTTAAAGGAACCGAATCCCGACCTAGATTCGAGATGGGACACCATAGTTCATTCCGATCCGATCGATCGATTTGAGTCGATATCGATTTTGGCAGGCTAGATCTGATTTGATTCCGTCATTCGGACGATCCGACGCAGCCCGATTATTGCGTAGTGCATTTGTGAAATTTGTCGCAGCCGATTTGATTCGCTTTCGATTCCGTGCAAATCCAGCCCGATCCGACGCACATCCCGACTCGATCCGATCTCCCGATTTCGATGATGATTGATCCTGCCTGTGGGAAACCCAAGCCCGTCCGAGGCTCCAGCTGGGACACGGATGGGCCTCAGTCCTTGGCTTCTGGCGGTCAGCATGTTGGTATCGTTGCAGCGGTGACAAGTGCAGCTTTCGCACGGCCCCGCACGGTCCCACAGGCGCCCCCCCGAGCCCCCCCAAGATCCGAGAGCCTTCACACGCCCCTCTCCTCCCTACAGTGGAAACCCATGCCAAGAAACACCCTGCTTGCCTCCAGGGTGCCCTGGGCTTCTTGGATTTCGATGGTTTTCCTATGGAAAGCGTGACGTTCCCACAACAGAAATCAATGGACGTCCTGGGGTCTGAGGGTTGGGTTTCTTGTGGAAGGTTTCTTGTGGTCGAACTCCCACTGTACTCCCCATCCTCCCTCATCCTGCATGCTCTCCCCTCCAGCCCCTCTGCTGATCTTCATCCGTGATGGATGCGCCTAGCACACCCGGTGCCATGCCTGTGTGTGACGACGACGACGACGACGACCACGACCACGACCACGACGACGACGACGACGACGACGACGACGACCTCCAGCCTCCTGCATCTTGCGGCCGGCTGCCTCCTCGTTAAAGGCTTAACGACTTCTGCCGTCCTTCGACTCGCGCTGGAGCGGCCGCGAGTTGCTTCACCTTTCCTCGGAGATCTTTGGATTTACCCGGATTTGTTTCGATTTGCCTGGATTTATCTGGATTGACCTCGATTTATCTGCATTTACCTGGATTTTTCTGGCTCGCTCCCCACAAGTCGATCGGCGAAAAGTCGACAAGCCCTTAGGGATCTTCCTCCGCTGGCCCATCCCCCCCCCCCAGCCCGCCCCCACAGCTGTCCTACGACGTGCTCCCCGAGGACGAGCCGCGCTTCGCGCCGGAGCCCTCGCGGGGCCCAGGCGCGGCCGCCCCCCGGCCGATCCACGGACGTGCCTCGCCGCCGCTCGCGCTTCGGGATCCCAGGATCGGGGGCCGAGGACGAGGGGGGAGAGGAAGGGTCAGCACTGGGGGATGGAGGAGGAGGAGGAGGAGGAGGAGGAGGAGGAGGAGGAGGACGAGGAGGAGGAGGAGAAGGAGGAGGACAAAGACGAGGACGAGGACGAGGAGGAAGAGGAGGACGAGGACAAAGACGAGGAGGAGGAGGAGGAGGAGGAGGGAGTGAAGGACGCGGAGACGCGGAAGCGGAGGGGGGAGGAGGCTCGTGACAGACAGTGACCGCCATCAATCAGCCTGGGAGGAGGAGGAGGAGGAGGAGGAGGAGGAGGAGGAGGAGGAGGAGGAGGAGAAAGAGAAAGAGGAGGAGGAGGAGACACTTCGAAGACACTTCCCGAGGCGACAGGGGTCGCGCAGGAGGAGGAAGAGGAGGAGGAGGAGGAGGAGGAGGAGGAGGATGGGGGATAGATGAGGAGGATGAGGTGGGGAGGGGTTGGACGAGGGAGATCTGCCCGACATCGCGCGCGTGCGCATCCCACCCTCGTCAGTATGTCACGGGGTCGGGGGATGTTGAGGTGCGCGATCGTGGCCGCGCGGACCCCAGCCCCGCACGCATTCGGCCCGCGCCCGCAGGGAAAGTCCCTCTCGCTTGCAGTCGAAACCGACAGTAAGGACGAGCGACTTCCCAAGGGTACCCTTGCATCCTTGCCTCTTCCTTCGGTCACCCTCTCCAGGACTCCCCGTTGGGGTCCGAGTCGATGGGGTCGGAGGATCGCGCCGCCCCGCCGATGCATCTCCGGTGCGGCTCGATGTGGAGGCCCGCTGTGCCCCACGCATGCATCGCCGGTGCATCGGCGCTGTATCTCCGATGCGGCGCGATCCTCGGACCCCCTCTGCTCGGACCCCACCTAGGTGGCCTCCATCCGCGGACCCTCCTCGACCACTCTCGATTGCCAGCACCGCTCGAGGAGCCTCGGCAGGGGCGTGCAAGGCCCTTGCATCCTGACCGCGCATACCCCATGATCGGTTCTGGCTGTCTACTCCCACGCGGCCCCCCTCGACGAGGTCCGCCGTCATGCGTCGCGTCGGCGGGGATCTGTCTCCCGCGACTCGAGTGTTGGCATCGCTCGGACGTGTGCATCTGTTCTCGGCGAGGACCATCGCGGAGCATCCAGGATGAAACCGCCAAAAGCACGACACCACCAACAACAAGCAACAAGACCACCACCAACAACAACAACAACAACAACAATCACTTTACCCGAACGCTCAGTGTTCTCACCAGTGCCAGGGTTTTCATGCGACGCCAGCCAATACCCCCACTTTGTGGGGGGGCAGTGCAAGCTCTACCAAATATCCACACGACTCTTCGCCACCACCCACACCCAGCTTCCCGCCCTATGACGTTCGGACACTTCACTTCGTGGCCTGCGGACGACCGTGGCTACTACACTGGCGTGGAGTACACACCCACAGAAGTTGTTAAGCCTACGTTCGTACACCCACAGAAGTTGTTAAGCCTTGTTAACCCACAGAAGTTGTTAAGCCTTCCACAGAACATCTGTTGCATATGATGCATATGGTACATGATACACATGATACACATGATACGTACTCACAAGATAGTTGATCACATCTTTAGGGCAAATTCGGCGTGCGCGCGCGAAGAAAAAACGAATGTGTCCCGCATGGTATTATTTGACAGGGATGATGGCCCTGGCAGGTGCGCAACCGTTGTCGCAGAAGTTCGAAAAAGTTGCTCGCAAAAGCCCGTTTGACAGAAATGTTTAAAAAGTGTTGGGTTTCCTACGAATCCGCAAGAGCGCGCGGGATGAGATTTTGACATTTTTTTGTTGAAAAACCATTGGTTTTTTGATGTTTTTATGTTAAAATCGCTGCGAACACTAAGGTTTTGGAAGGATTTCGTCTTGCGCGCGCGAATGTCCACTTTACCTTATTTTTTGCAAGGGATTCTTGAAATTTGATTATATTAGAACAAGAAATGTCATTTTCTATTGTTTTTTGCAAGGGAAAGCGGATTACAACAAAACAACCGGATCCTGTACACACCCTCTTTTCTGAGGCTTCCTCACGAAAATGATGAAAATGTAGCTGCGGCCTAGGCGGCGCAGGGGGGGCGCGCACCAGGGGGCCCAACAATAATTATTCTTTAGAATAAATAATGTTCAACAACAACAACAACAATGACACTGATAATGACAACAACAGCAGCAGTCATACTAGTAACAACACTAATACGAATAATCATAACCATAATGATAACGACGTCCGAGCGACGGCAAGGAGTGGCGGTTCGCAGCGCGGCCGTGCACGCGCGCACTGGCGGGGGCCTCGCGCGGGGGGCGGCGCAGCTGCGCCGCGCACCTCTGCGTGGGCACCCCGCACCTCGAACGGTGGCGCCTCGGGGCCCCGTCGGGGCATGGGCCCCTCGGGCAGAGATGTCTCCGCGACCACCGCCCGGGGGATCGATCCTCGAACCCTGAACCGCGACGTCTCGATCCTCGATCCTCGATCCTCGATCCTCGATCCTCGATCCTCGATCGAACCACCGCGAAGTCTCGATCCTCGATCCTCGATCGAGGATCGATCCTCGGCCCTCCACCCGCGAGCGGTGGATCTGGCTGTCCTCGGGCCCAGCGGGGCCAAAAAATGTGTATCCAGAGCCACGCCCCCATGGGGTCCTGCCTGGGACATCGGTTGCCCGGGCGGTGCGGGACGGTGCGCCCGATCGGCACGGAGGCCGCGTCGTGCTGCAGAGTGCGGGACAGAGACAACGAGGGAAGAGAATTCGCGAGAGAGAGCATCAATGGCAAGCAGCCGCTCCTGCGACCGAGCCTGGAGAGGCGTCTGTCGTGCCTGCGTCCTGGTGGGCGAGCGAGAGTCAGGGAGTGCGCTGTCTTCGTCTTGCGGGCCAGCGGGAGGGAGAAGAGGGAGGGGAGGGGGGGAGAGGAAGAGGGAGGGGAGGAGCACAGCCGATGTCGGTGAACCCCCGCAGGGCAAAACGGAAATCGGAGTCGAGAAAGTGCGCGACGACGCAGCTGCGCCGCATCGCCTGGGGCCCCCGCTCCGCGATTGGTGGCGCCTCGGAGCACTGCCAGGGCGCCCGGGGGCCGCAAGTGGAGCGATATTCGGCGGAAGGGCGCGAATCTGGACGCCCGACATGGGCACGGAAAGAATGGGTACAATGCCCAACAGCAGTTCCTGTTCATTTTGGACAGGATTCGCTGTCCACGCCGCCGCGGCCTGTGTTCATTTGAGACAGGAGGCCGCCTGCCCAACAGCGGCCGCTGTTGGTTCGGGACAACATTTGCTGTTGGGCACTGTACCCATTCTTTCGGTACCCATTTCGGGCGTCCAAAGCGAATAGCGAAAACATTGAGAACCCTGCGGAGGATCAATTCTTCTGGCCTCCCCCCCCCTCGAGAGCGCCGTGGGGGTGTCTCGGAGCTCATTTCAGGGGCAACGTTTGGGGAGGGTTCGGCTCAGGGGGGGATGCACCGACCCCGAATTGCCCACTGATCGCCAATATGGGCCCGACAGCCCACTCCGCCCAGGACCATGCGGATTCACTGTCGGGGGGCTGTCGCCGATCTATAGACGGTGTATCGCTGATTCCAGCTCGATGTTTTTGCCCCTGAGCCAGTCCCCCTAACGCTCCCCGTCATTTGGGGCTGCCTCGGAGCCTGCCGGAGTCCTCTTGGACCTCCTGGGCGCTTCTTGGGGGATGGCCGGGCGTGCCTCCCGAGGCAGTGCTGGGCCATCTGGCCGGCCTCGGCGGCATACCGGGCCCGTGCTGGAAGCGTCGGGAGAGCTTGGGACATCGCCAGGGAGGCGCCGGGGCGCCCGGGGAGCCTCGGGATGGAGAGGGTTCAGTGAGACAGACTGAGTGTGAGGGAGGGGGGGGCAGAAGACTTGCAGAGACCTTATCAAACAGCACAGGGCATTCTACCACGCCTCAGCGTGCCAGCGGGCAGGGTGCTGCGCTATGGCGTATCCGCGAGCACGAATCGGAGGTCAGCTGCAGAACAGAAACTAGCAGATTCAAGGTTGAAGAGGATCGGGGTCCCAAAGGTATGTTGACCACAGCGCGCGGTGAGTCAGCGGGGATTCGGGGTGACCGCACTGTTTTTGGACTTGGGTCGTTCTCCGAGGAGTGACGGGCCGTGTGGTGAGGTTTTGTATAGCGTTTTTCTTGGTTTCGAGGTCACCGCGCGGTCTGTCACCGCACCGATTTGGAACCTCCAACGGGGGGCACGGTGGCGGATCTACGAGAACGAGTCGGAGGTCAGTCGTAGAGTAGCGACCGAAATGTTCACAGTGATGGAGGAGGGGGAGGACGAGGGAGGAGTAGCACGAGGAGGAGGGGGAGGGAGACGGAGGAGGAGGACGAAGGGGAGGAGGAGGAGGAGGAGGAGGAGGAGGAGGAGGAGGAGGAGGAGGAGGAGGGACGACGAAGGGGAGGAGGAGGAGGAGGAGGAGGAGGAGGAGGGAGGAGGAGGAGGAGGAGGAGGAGGATGAAGGGGGATTAGGAGAAGGAGGAGGAGGAGGAGGAGGAGGAGGAGGAGGAGGAGGAAGTGGAGGAGGTCTCTCTCGCCGCGCGGAGCCCAGGCCACCGGGAGAGGGCCGCGCAGCTGTACGGCTCCTTCTCGCAGGAGGACGCCCTTGCCGCCTCCACTCCTGGGCGCACGGCAGGGCCGCCCGGCAGCGCTCGCCTTCCGCTCCGGGCAGAGGCTCGGATCTCCGACGAGAGTCGCAGGCGACTTCTCGCCCCTGATCACGGAGTTCCGCCCGAAGCGTTGCGGCCAAGAGACGGTGGACAGCGTGTCGCGCCGCCGTGTCTGGCCCACCGCGCAGTGGAGCGACACGCTATATATCCACGGCCCTGTCCCCAAAGCGTCAACGTCCCGAGTGTTTCGCGGCCTCCCGCCCCGCGGCGCGGTGGCGGCACGCTGTCCGCTCGCGGGGCACGGCGCGTCGCCGGAGCCGCCGCCGCGACACGCCAGGCAGGAGTTCCCAGCAGAGCATGACGTGTGTCCATCCAGGCGTTTTTTGCTGTCGGCCTCAGAGGCCCACTGTTCGGACACCAGGGCCATCAAGCATGGCGCCGGGACGAAAAGCTACGCCCGGGGAAGGGGTCGGGATGTCGAGGACCGCGGATTACGACCAAAACAAAAGATCGTCGGATGTCAGGCAGGGCGCGCTCACGTCGTGAAAGGCCTCGGAGTCGAAGGTTTGAGCTCATGGTATGGCTTCGCGCTCGTCGCGCTCTTTTGGGCCCCAGGCAAGGTTTTCGTGGCCACGGTCGGATTCCCCCAGACGTTCCTGCCAAAACTCATCCCGGGCCAGTTGGAGCTATTTTCCCCGAATTGTACAATCCCTTGCGTCGCAAACAGATTTAAAACAAAAGTAAACAAAAAATTACTGTAGATTTGGTCCGGGCGCAATCTTCATGATCCTCTTGGGCCCTCCTTCCTCTCCCCCACCCCGGGCGCAGGGGGACATGGCTACCCCGCCCCCAGGGGGGGTGCCAGTGGTCGTCCCCGTTGCTCAGTTGCCTCGAGACGCCCGTCTTGAAACGCAACACGTACCGCGTTCAAAACGTCAGCGTCAACACGCTGCGTATTGGTTTGATGCGTGTTAGCCCACGTTTTAGCGAATACATCGCGCCAGACCTACGCTTTCAGCCTGCGTGTTGAGCTCCGCATCAATACGCTACGTGTTGCGTGTGGCGTCTCGGGGCAGCTGAGCCCCGCGGTTAGCTTGACCCCCGCCCCGCCCCCGGGGTGACCCCACTGGGGCGGGGGCGGGACGTGGCAGCTCCAACTGCGGCGAACCCACGCCGGCAGCGCCCAGCGCCCAGGAGGAGGAGGGCGGAGCTGACGCCTCGAGCGCTCGCTCCCGCGGCACGCGCCCAAAAGAATGAAGCAAGAGGAGGAGGGAGGAGGAGGAGGAGGAGGAGGAGGAGGAGGAGGAGGAGGAGGAGGAGGAGGAGGAGGGGGAGGAGGGGGAGGGGGAAGAGAAGGAGGAAGAGGGGGAGGAGGAGGAGGAAGAGGACTCCTGGGTCGGCTGCGGTCGAGGATCCCTTCAGCCATCAGGAGCCAGGAGCCAGGAGGACCCCTCTCGGAGGGGAAGGAGGCGGCGGAGGAGGAAGAGGAGCAGGAGCAGGACGTGCCCACCCCTTCTCTGCTCCGCCCACTGGTCGCAATCCGTTCGCTTGCAAGCCCAAGTCGGCTGCCGCACAGACGCAGCGATCACTTGACGACTGTCCGAGCAACGTCAAAAAAGTAGGAGGTCAACCCGTGAAGCTCAAACGAATGTGCGCGGCGCTGAAGCGAGAGCCACGTTTTGAAAACCACCCGTCCTCCATGTGTGAAACTATTGCCAATGTCTACGCTTCAGGGTTATCAGTGGTGAGGCGAAATGCCTGGCACGCTCTTTCGACTGGCCTCGGACTGCGACAGGAAGGAGTTATTTAGAAGGAAAAGGAATGGAGGAGGAGGAAGAGGAGGAGGAGGAGGAGGAGGAAGAGGAGGAGGAGGAGGAGGAGGAGGGGGGACCCCTCTCGGAGGGGCAGGGGGGGGGGCGCAGGAGCAGAGCAGGCCGGCGGCGGAGCGGAAAATTAACCTGGCCCGGCTCGCGAGGGGGAGTGAGCGGCGCCCCGCGGACCGCCTAGGAGAAGAACGCCCTGCTGGAGCAGAAGATCTCGATGCTCCAGAGGCGCCCGCCACGGAGGAGGAAGAGGAGGAGGAGGAGGAGGAGGAGGAGGAGGAACGGGAGGAGGAGGAGGAGGAGCAGGAAGAGGAGGAGGAGCAGGAGGAGGAGGAGGAGGAGGAGGAGCAGGAGGAGGAGGAGGGATGCGAACTCGAAGGACACAGATCGTTGTGGGCTCCCTCCGCGCCAGCGGACGTCGTGCTCAAGGCCACCAAGTGGGCCCTGGGCCCCAAGAGGCAAAATTCATGGATTTGCTGTCAGCTGCTGAATGATCTTAGCGTTCTCGCCTCTTCGGGCCCCCAGCGCTCCAAGACGGCTGAAGAGGCTCCCAGGATCGCCCCGAGACGGCCCAAGACGGCTCCGAAGAGGGCCCCAAGACGACGCCGTCGACGTCGTCGTCGGTTCCTCGTCGTAGTCCTCTGCGTCGTAGTCCTCTGCGTCGCAGGCGGTCGTCGGCATCGGCGTCGTGGTCGGCGTCCGCCCCCCTGACCTCCAGGAGCTGGCTCGAGGCTCGAGGCGAGGCAAATGGGCCTCTGGAGGACCTCCGGAGGCCTCCTCCTCCTCCTCCTCCTCCTCCTCCTCCTCCTCCTCCTCCTCCTCCTCCTCCTGGAGGCCTCCTTGGAGACCCGGGGCCACGCCGCCATGGTCTTGTCGGCCCCGCAGGGCCCGCCGCGGGTCTGCAGGGGGCGGCCGTGCGAGAACGGCCTGGGACGAGGAAAAGCGGCCCTGGTCGGTCGGGGCCGGAGGAGGAGGGAGGAGGAGGAGGAGGAGGAGGAGGAGGAGGAGGAGGAGGAGGAGGAGGGAGGAGGAGGAGGAGGAGGAGGAGGAGGAGGAGAGAGGAGAGAGAGGAGGAGGAGGAGGAGGAGGAGGAGGAGGAGGAGGAGGAGGAGGAGGGAGGAGGGAGGAGGAGGAGGAGGAGGAGGAGGAGGAGGAGGAGGAGGAGGAGGAGGAGGAGGAGGAGGAGGAGGAGGAGGAGGAGGAGGAGGAGGAGGAGGAGGGTGAATCCTCTTGGGGGCGTTCCGGAACCTTCTGGGAGCGTGCCAGAACGTCTCGAGAAGGCCGCGGCGCACGAGGGATCCTCCAGAGCCGCCAGATCTTAATGATTCTCGACTTACCCTCACCCGATGTTTTCCTCGTCCTGGCTTCGCCGCGCCTGGGGGAGGGATCGAGCTCTCGGGGGAGCCGTGCTGAGCCGCCCGCCCGCCTGCTTCGTGTCCAGCCGGTCCTGGCCTCCCGCCCGCGCGTTCGCCGTCGTCCACTCGCTTCTCGCCCCCCTGTCTGCCTTTCTCAAGGAGTGGTGAAGCGTCCAGGCTTGCCTACAGGCCCACCAAGGAATGTTGTGGTTTGCACGGAATGTTCTCTATATAAACATTTCTGGTTGAGACTGTTTCAATACTTCGGCTGGAGATGTTCTAAGAACATGTCTTGTGCTTTTAGAGCACTGCTTTGCTCTGGGCACAGGCCGTGGCAGGCCTCCTAGGGATGCCCGCGGAGGGCCCGTGCCTGCGGCAGAGGCTCGGCGTCGGAGGCCTGGGCCCTGCCGGAGCAGTGCGGGCGTCCGCCCCGGGAGAGGCCGGCCGCCGGGGCCCGCGCGCACGGGCGGCGTCCGGGGCGGCGTGCGTCTGACTGCCTCGGGGGGTCTCGGGGGCCCATCGGCCATGCGCAGAGGGGGGGGGCAGGGGAGGAGGGGGGGAAAGGCTTCGCAGAAGCACCCCTGCTTCCCAGCGGCCCAGGAGGCGGGGGGCCTGACCTAGAGATGTCGGGCCGGCGCCGTCTAAGAAGCAGCCTCGTCACAAGAAGCCTTCCCCCCTCCCCCCTACCCCCTTGCGCGAGCCGCCGCCACCCCTACCCCCGCCTCCCGGGTAATGGCAGCGATCGTACGTCGGGGGGGGCGGGGACCCCCCCCCACCGTGTCGCTGATCGCGCGCATACGATGGCGATCGTAGCGCACTGCCGCCCCGACGCGCCCCACCCCGCGCCCATTGCGTTACCGTTCCCGCCCCCCCCCGCTAACGACCTACCCCCTGGGCCAACGACCGATACCAGAAATCATACTTGAAAAAGCCCTGCGAGGGACCAAATTATGTTCAGGTGCGAGCGCCGCGCGGCAGGGGACGAAGGAGGGGGAGATCGTGTGGGGCCACAAAGCGTGTGAGCGGTGTGCCGAAGTGAGCCTGGAGACAGGTGGTTCTTGCCACTACGGCCTTCCGTGGAGCTCCCTACGGGGCCACGAAACGTATGAGGGATGTGCAGAAATTGGCTTGGGGACGCATGCGATTCCTGCCACTGGGGCCTTAGGTGGAGCTCCCGATGGGGCCACGAAACGTGTGAGTGGCGTGCCGAAACGGGTGTGATGCCACCATGTGGGCGGTTCCTCCCAGCATAAACGTGTGAGCGGTGTGCCGAAACGGATGTGACGCCACCATGTGGACGGTGCCTCTAGCTCCTTGTGGGGCAACGAACCATGTGAGGGGTGTGCCGAAACGGGTGTGGCGCGGTGTGACGCCACCATGTGGATGGTGCCATCGGTGCCTTAGGTGGAGCTCCCAATGGAGCCACGAAACGTGTAACGAGACGGGTGTGACGCCACCATGTGGACAGTGGCATTGGGGCCTTAAGTGGATCTCCCGATTAGGCCCCGAAACGTGTGAGAAGTGTGCCGAAACAGGTTTGACGCCATCATGTGAACGCCGCCATGGGGGCCTTGGGTGGAGCTCCCTATTGGGCCACGAAGCATGTGAGGGGTGTGCCGAAATGGGTGTGGCGCCACCATGTGGAGGATGCCATTGGGGCCTCAAGTGGAGCTCCCTATGGGGCCGCGAAGCGTGAGGGGCGTGCCGACCTTGACACGCGGAGGGCGGAGGCAGGGATGGGTGGAGGGAGGATGGACGAGGAGGAGCGGGAGGGCCGCGGGGCGCTGTCTCTTCAAAACGAGGACTCTCCGTGGTCGACGTCGGCAGCTGGGGCGGATCACGTCAGCAGTCGCTGGCGGGAGGCGCGCCCATAGCCACGGGCTCGAGGGCTGGATGCCTCGCGGATTTCTGCGCGGGTGCCCCGCGCGGAATGTATCAATGAGATCGCGTAGCCACGGGGCCGCGCCCAGGAATCCAGCCCGCGGGGGCACGTCGGGGCTCAAGAGACGGGGGTCGACGCAAATGGGGGTCAGCTAGAGCGCCGGATTTTGCAGGATCCTGCGGGGCCAGGGGTGCACTGACCCCGGCTTGGGTGCAGGATCCTGCAGGATCTTGCAGTATCCCGCAAGGCCCGACTGACACGGGTTTGCATTGACCCCGATCTGTGCGTCCCCGAGCATGGATGTGGATATGTTCGCCGCTCCTGCCCTTGCATCCTTGCTTGCTCGGCTCGTCGTTGGTCGTTGCCGCAGCCCGGGCGCCGCCGATGCCGCTTCAGTTCAGGGCTGAAGTCCAGCGGCACTGCATCCTCACCGTGCGCACGCCTTTACTCTTTGTGCGTGACTGCAGGAGGGCTGGTTTTTCTAAGGCCGGCGTGTCGTTTGGGGGCAGTAGTAATTTGTAATTGCAAGTCATAAGTCGACGCCCCCAGGCGGGAGTGTCCCGCCGTCGGCGCACCGCGCGATGGCGGGCGCCCGCATGTCCACCCGCCACGCGCCGCCGCTACGTCGGGCGGGCGCGGGCATGCTGGCGTGCCGCGCGGCCGTGCGTCGGGGTTTTTCCTCCCTCCGTTCCTCCGTGCACGGTCGTGATGTCTCCTCTTTGCCGCCTGGCCGCGGGGCGGGATATCAAGTACTCGGTCATGTCTGCAGCGCCCCACCTGCCTAGTGTGCACTCTTAAGGTGGGGCGGCTGGCCGGGGTGTGGTCCTCTGTCTGCCAGTGTGCGGCTCTGGACCAACCCTGGGGGCGACGCGCGGGGCGTCCGTTCGCCAGAGTGCGTCGGACGCGACCGCGGTCGCGCTTCTTTTCTGGCCCAGTGTGGCCCCTCGTGGGTGTCGTTGTCTGGGGTTTTTCCCTGCGGGTCCTGTGTCCCTTGGTCCACTTCGGGCCAACACCGCTGGTCCTTGGTGACCTACGCGTTGTTTCTCCACCCTGGCGGAGTCTGTTTCACGGCCCTGAGGGGCCACGGCATTGCTATCAAGCCCAGAGTGGCCTCTCACGTCGGCCCAGTGTGACCAACGTACCCATAGGGTTCCCCCTCGCGGGTCCAGAGCGACCCTCGTCTGGCGGCCCAGAGTGGCCATTCAGTAGCAGGGCAGCCGATGCCAGCCCGCATGTCTGGCGGCCCTAGAGCGGCCAATCTTCGATAGGGCGGCCGTTGCGGCTTGCCTGACTGCCAGCAGGCCCGCGCGTCTCGCTCGAAGGCCCATAGTGGCCAATCGTTGCAAACGTTTCTTTCGCATTCCCAGTGAACAGTCGAGCGCGAGACTCGCAGCGCGCCAGACTCGCAGCGCAAAGGCAGCGAACTCCCGCCGTCGGTCGACGGTTTTTGCTCTGGCTGTCGCAGGTTCGCAGCGGCTCCGAATGTCGGGTGAAGTCAGCGGCCCCCGCTTGCATGCGATGGCGGAGCAGGCTGCGCAGGCGGCGCTCGCGCCGTTCAAGGCGAAAACAGAAAGGGGCCCCTTGGTGCGCACCGCATCCCGCGCGCGGGTCGCGCACGCAGACACAGCGTTGTCGCAGGCGCGCGAGCGGCTTCGCTACCTGCTGGTTCAGGGGGCGGGCCCCAGGCTGCAGGGGCGAGCGCCAAGGGGCCCGCCCCTAGCAATGCCAGCACCACCTGCCAACGAGAGCTGCTGGTCGCCAGTCCGACTCGGAGCAGTCGGCCCTCGGTTAGTAAGGTTGGAGCAGGTGCGGGCTGAACTGCGCTTCGCCCTGGCCCAATGCGCACCGCGTTTGCCGCGCGACGTCTGCCATGTCATAATGGGCCACGCTAAGTCCCAGATCGTCTCTGCGCCCGTGATACGCCACCGTCTAATGGACAATCCAGACAGCGGCGATGAAGCGCACTTCCGCCGGGCAAAGCTGCGAGCGCG